GGCGCTGCCCTCCCTGGGCGCAGGCGGGGATCTCGAGGCCCCTCCGGAGTCATGGGCACAACTGTGGCTCTTCCGCTTCCTGGTGAACGCCCTGGGCTATGCCAGCTTCATGGTTCCCGGCTACCTCCTGGTGCAGTACTTCAGGCGGAAGAACTACCTGGAGACAGGTGTGCGGGGAGGGGGCTGGCGGGCGTCCAGGTCGGAATGGGTCCTGGACAGAGCCGGGTGAGGGTGTGCAAGGGCTTCCAGGCTGACTTTACTGCCTTTTTCAGGCAGGGGTATCTGCTTCCCCCTTGTGAAAGCCTGTGTGTTTGGCAATGAGCCCAAGGCCTCCGATGAGGTCCCCCTGGCTCCCCGGACAGAGGTAGCAGAGACCACCCAGATGTGGCAGGCCCTGAAGCTGCTCTTCTGCGCAGTGGGGCTGCAAGTAAGTAGCAAGTTCTGCCTCTCTTCTTGCATTGAGCGATGGTGGGCAGGAACTCTGGAACTCACAGGTTTGTTTGCTGGTCAGTGTGCTACCCACCTCCTCCCAGGGACACATGCCCCGTCTTGGGTATGTTTGGGGACATCTTTCCTCCTTCCCCTGGCAAGCCCTGGTACTGAAGGTTAACTGCCCGTTTTCACTTCATGGTACCTGGTGCTGCAGAGAGCCTGTATCTTACACTTTTCTGATTTCTGCTGTGCCTGGCTGTTACTACACTTCTTCTGCACCATTGTGTTTCATGCACCAGTAAAAGTTTGGGGGAGCCATTCATTACTCTGCTTAATGGATGCTAAGATGTTGACCACACAGCCCTGCATCCACGTTGAACTGCAGGTGTGCACCCCTCCCTGAGAATGTACCTCTGGATTGATTACAAACAGGAAAACATTTTGGATGGAGCGAGCTCTCAGTACCCACACTGTGGGCACAGACAGGTCTGGGTTTGGGCAGCCCAGAGCATGTTACTGTATTTTTCCCCACACTTGATTCCCTCCAAGGTGAATCCAGGCTTTGGGGAGGAAACTTCTACTACAGGGGAACCAACACAGTGTAAATGTACCATTCTGAATCATCCTGGGGGAGGCATTTGTGATCTACTGCCTGCCACTTCCTTCTCTTACCTGTCTCCTGTCACCTTCCATGCAGGTGTCCTATCTGACTTGGGGTGTGCTACAGGAAAGAGTGATGACCCGCAGCTACGGGGCCACAGCCACATCGCCTGGTGAGCGCTTCACAGACTCGCAGTTCCTGGTGCTAATGAACCGTGTGCTGGCGCTCCTCGTGGCAGGCCTCACCTGTGTCCTCTGCAAGCAGCCTCGACATGGGGCACCCATGTACCAGTACTCCTTTGCCAGTCTGTCCAATGTGTTCAGCAGCTGGTGCCAGTATGAAGCTCTCAAATTTGTCAGCTTCCCTACCCAGGTGCTGGCCAAGGCCTCCAAGGTGATCCCTGTCATGCTGATGGGGAAGCTGGTGTCACGGCGCAGCTATGAGCACTGGGAGTACCTGACGGCTGGCCTCATCTCCGTTGGGGTCAGCATGTTCCTGCTTTCTAGCGGCCCAGAGCCTCGCAGCTCCCCAGCTACCACACTCTCGGGTCTCCTCTTACTAGGTGGCTATATTGCCTTTGACAGCTTCACTTCCAACTGGCAGGACGCTTTGTTTGCCCACAAGATGTCATCCGTGCAGATGATGTTTGGGGTCAACTTCTTTTCCTGCGTCTTCACAGTGGTCTCACTCCTCGAACAGGGTGCCCTCCTGGAAGGGACCCGCTTCATGGGGCGGCACAGCGAGTTTGCAGCCCATGCCCTCCTGCTCTCCATCTGTTCTGCCTTTGGCCAACTCTTCATTTTCTACACCATCGGGCAGTTTGGGGCTGCCATCTTCACCATTATCATGACCCTCCGCCAGGCCATTGCCATTCTCCTCTCTTGCCTGCTCTATGGCCACACTGTCACTGTGGTGGGTGGGCTGGGGGTGGCTGTGGTCTTTGCTGCTCTCCTGCTCAGAGTTTACGCCCGGGGTCGGCTAAAGCAGCGAGGAAAGAAGGTTATGCCTGTTGAGTCCCCTGTGCAGAAGGTTTGAGAGCCCAAGAGTTCATTGACAGGACTGTTTTCTCTGGCCTCTTTCACTCTAGCTTCCCAGAGGCCTTGACTCAAAGGTAGTCATGGTTTTCAGTACCAGGATGGCTCTGCAGGTGGGCTAGGACCCAGCAGGCAGTCTCCCTTGCCTTAAGCCACCTGTGCCACATACAGGTGTCCTGTGGCAGTTGCTTTCCAGATCAAGTCTGGACCAGCTGTGGGCTGCCACCAGTCCTGACCTGTGCTGGTCCCCACCTGGCTACTTTCCTTTCAGACCTCACCTGACTTGCATTTCTTACTCTGGTGAGAAGAGCACAAGTGTTGCAGACTTCAAATGCTGCTTCCTAGGGGTACAGAAGAGGACTGTGCTGTGCTGGGAAGGGGTGGGAACCCTGCCCAGTGCTTGCTGCTGTGCCCCTGGGCTGAGGCCCTGCCTGACATGGGTACAGGTTTTGGTACTCTGGAAATGTCACATTTTACTCATTTTATTAAACTGCTGCAGTGGACTTGGTCCTATTGTTTTGGTTGGTTGGAGGGGACATAAAGGGAATGCCCTTAAGGCAGCTAGCAACCAGTGTGCCTTTGCCATTCATTAGTGGAGCTTGACTTACCCAGAAAGATTCCAGCGTACCTTGCTGTGCTCACAACAGCAAGGTAACACCTAGGAGTAAGCAGTGAAAGGAGAGCAGAGCTGTATAAAACTGCATCTTCTTTATTTCGCATACTTTAATTTCAGAACAAAAATAAACAAAAAATGAGATCACAATACACAACCAACCCTGCTGTCAAATTATGGAGGGATGGGGCTTGAGGCTCTTGCTTCCTGCTTTCCATACAAGGCAGGAGAAACCACTAGACATCAGCAGAGGGAGCAAGGTGGGACAGAACCACTCAGGCTGCTGGGGGAGCTGTGGGGAAACTATACAAAGGGCACAGGATTCCTATAGTGGAAGCTCCTAATCAACTTCTTCCATCCGAGATGCATCCTCATCCCCTTCCAGGGGAGGGATCTCATCAGGAACAGTAGCACTGGGCTCCTCCGCGGTCACCTCATCTTCATCAATGCCTACGCAAAGAAGAAAGCTCATTCGAAACAACTGAATGAACAATGGCATATGAGATCCACTCTGCCTAAGGGCAGCCCCACAGTCCCCACTTACCCAGGCCGAGCTTGATCATGCGGTAGATGCGGTTGGAATGGGTCTGAGGGTCCTCCAGGGAGAAGCCAGAAGACAGTAGTGCAGTCTCAAACAACAGCACCACCAGGTCTTTGACGGCCTTGTCATTCTTGTCAGCTTCAGCCTTCTGTCGCAGTGTCTCCACAATGGGGTGATCAGGGTTGATCTCCAGGTGCTTCTTGGCCATCATGTAACCCATAGTAGAGTTGTCTCGGAGGGCCTGGGCCTTCATGATCCGCTCCATGTTGGCTGTCCAGCCGTAGGTGCTAGTCACGATGCAGCAGGGTGAAGACACAAGTCTATTAGAGATTGTCACCTGTGGATGGTCACAGAAACCATACTTTAGCAAGGCAGCACATACCTACAGTCCTAGCTAGTAACAGACTGATGCAGAAGGCTCTTTTAAGCCCAAGAGTTTGAGGCCAACCTGGGCCTAACTCTGACAACGTGTCTCAATCAAGAAACAAACGCCTTAAATCAGGAGTTCCAAAAACAAAGGGTTCAAATTCTTACTCTTTCAAGGAGCTGCAATAAATGCCTCAGGAAAGCTTCCTGACACCAGAAATCTGAAGGAAGCAGCCCTGGAGATAGGAATCCCCAAACAGCTCACCTTCTCAACTTTCTTATCTAAGATCTCCTTCATGAGTTTGCACAGGTTCTCAAACTTGGCCTTGCTCTCCTCCATCTTTTTTTTTTCCTCCTCATCCTCAGGCAGCTCCAGGCCTTCCTTGGTCACAGAGACCAGGCTTTTCCCGTCAAACTCCTTGAGCTGCTGCACGCAGTATTCATCAATGGGCTCAGTCATGTACACCACCTCGAAGCCCCGTTTCCGTACACGCTCCACAAAGGCAGAGTTGGCCACTTGCTCCTTGCTCTCGCCTGAAGGGTTAGCAAATGGGACTCAGGCACTGAAAGGTCTCAGGTAATCCAGATCAATTACCAGCAGCCCACCCCACCCGCAAAAGGAGCTTTGCTGATTCATGACGCACCAGTGATGTAGTAGATGGACTTCTGTGTCTCCTTCATGCGAGAGACATACTCAGACAAGGATGTCATCTCATCTCCAGACTGAGAGGTATGATAACGCAGCAGCTCAGAAAGGCGTCGCCTGTTAGTGGAGTCCTCATGGATTCCAAGCTTTAAGGGTGGGGGAAAAAAAATCCATGAGAAAAAAAAATTCATTTATTAAGCAAGTAATCAAAACCACTACAAAAAAGTTGGTGGTAAATAATTAAAAAGGATGGACTTAATTTATGATCTGCACACACTTATGTACTGTTTATACAACATATTTTTGCATATTTCAACAAAAATGGAACCATTGAATGAGAATTTAACCTTTGCCGTCTTGCAATATAATGTAAAAAATGTTGGTTAAAAAAAAAACAAAACCACTATAAATATTTGCCTTCCTACCTTCAGATTTTTTGAGAATGCCTCATAGAATTTCTTGTAGTTCTCTTTGTCTTCTGCCAATTCAGAGAAGAGCTCAAGACATTTCTTAACAATGTTTTTGCGGATGACTTTCAAGATCTTGCTCTGCTGAAGCATTTCTCGGGAGATATTCAGGGGCAGGTCCTCTGAGTCAACCACACCACGGATAAAGTCTGAAATCAAACAGGGCAGAAAGCTCAGTAAAAACAGCTGGACTACATGTGGTCACCCAGGTCCAAACACAAGGCTCTTTGCTCGCCTATCTCTATTTGCTGTGTGTGGCTGAGAACAAGTGTAATTGTCTGAAGACTTTACTCCCAGGAGAATGCTCCAGGGCTCAAAGCTCACCCCATTGCACCAGGCTCAGAAGATACTCACTTAGGTACTCGGGAATCAACTCATCACAGCTGTCCATGATGAACACGCGACGGACATAAAGTTTGATGTTGTTCTTCTTCTTCTTGTTCTCAAACAGGTCAAAGGGAGCCCGCCGAGGAATAAATAACAATGCCCTGAATTCCAGCTGACCTTCCACAGAGAAATGCTGAAAGAAACCCAAGATGATAAAGCAGTCATACATTTCAGGGACAAGAGCAACAAAATAACAACCCTCCTCCTCCTAGCACTAGGGCAGCTCTTGAAAAAGTATACCCTAATGACCCAAACCAACTCATACCAGTAAGGGCTGCAAGTAACCCTTGGACAAACTAACAAAAGACTGGATCAGAGCCCTACATGTGTCAGGTTGCCACAGGCACCACACCACCCAGACTTCTAATGGGAGAAAGTCAAGTCACTGGGGAGGTGAGACTTCCCTTCACTGTGGCAGGGTCACTAGAAAGAGAACACACGGGGGACCACACGTCTTTCACAGCTCTCAGCCATCACCAGCTAAGCAAGGTCTGTCTCTTGTCCCCTGACCCACAACACTTCTCACCTTGACTGCCAAGTGGTCTTCCCAGTCATTGGTGAGGCTCTTATAGAATTCTCCATATTCTTCCTGAGTGATGTCATCAGGGTTTCTGGTCCAAATTGGCTTGGTCTTGTTCAGCTCCTCATGATCAATGTATTTCTCCTTAATCTTCTTGGTTTTCTTTTTCTTATCCTTACCAGTGTCATCCTCTTCATCTGAGCCCACATCTTCAATCTTAGGCTTCTCCTCATCATCCTTATCTTCCTCTTCTTTCTCACCTTTCTCTTCTTCTGCCTCATCATCACTGATTTCCTTCTCTCGTTCCTTCTCCAACTGAAGTACCAAACGTAGTAAGTTAACTTTGCAGAACAAAATGCCAGTGAAGCAAGAACCTCATTCAGGTGGCACATGCAGAAAGGTACACACAATGCATACTCACATAGAGGGTGATGGGGTAGCCTATGAACTGTGAGTGCTTCTTCACCACCTCTTTCACCCGCCTCTCCTCCAAGTACTCTGTCTGGTCTTCTTTGAGGTGGAGGATCACCTTGGTGCCTCGGCCAATGGGCTCCCCTAGAAATAGCCAACTGTTAATAAGAGTGTAAACCAAGACACGAAAAATGTAACTGAAATAAAAAAGTGCTTTGCAAGCAAGATGCCCACAACTTCTATTTGTCTTCCCTGAAGAGGACTCTAAGCCAGCAACACGGGGAAGCCAACTCACCATGGTCAGCACGGACAGTGAATGATCCCCCAGCAGAAGACTCCCAGGCATACTGCTCATCATCATTGTGCTTTGTGATCACAACCACTTTCTCTGCCACCAGATAGGCAGAATAAAACCCAACACCAAACTGCCCTATCATGGAGATGTCTGCACCAGCCTGCCAAAGAATTTTTTAGAAAGTCAAGTGATTTTTTAAAAAATGTCCAAGTCAGAAATCCGAAAGAACACAAACACATGTGCAGATAAAACGCCACATACCTGAAGAGCTTCCATGAATGCTTTTGTGCCAGACTTGGCAATGGTTCCCAAATTGTTTATGAGGTCAGCCTTGGTCATGCCAATGCCTGTGTCCACCAAAGTCAGGGTACGCTCCTGAGGGTTAGGGATGATGTCAATCTTCAGCTCTTTGCCACTGTCCAACTTGGAAGGGTCTGTCAGGCTCTCATAGCGGATCTTGTCCAAAGCCTGTAAATACAAACTACTACTTAAACCTGCTGTTTAAATATGCCTTTTCAACATCCAAATAAAAACCTTCTATTTTTCTCTTCCTGCCTGAATAGCCTCAAGTCTCCCGGTAACATAAGGCTTAAGAACCAATCACAGTATCCCATTTCTCCCTGACAGAGGACCTCACCTTTCAAAGCCAACAAAAGTTACAGCAAATCTTTTTGGAACTGCTTGTTTACCCCACCCCCCGTTTTGGTACCGGGGATTGAACTCAGGTCTTTGCACTTGCAAGGCAGGCCACCAAACCGCTGAGCTAATTAAATCCCTGGCCCCTTGTTTACCCCTTTCAACAGCAGCCTGCAATGAAGCTCAAGTTACCCCTTGTCCCTCTACAGCAATATGAAGGAAAAAAAAACCCAAAGAAACAAAACCCGTAACACTCCATCAGGCAAGACGAGAGCACTCACATCAGAAGCATTTGAGATCAACTCCCGAAGGAAAATTTCCTTGTTGGAGTAGAAGGTATTGATGATAAGAGACATGAGCTGGGCAATTTCTGCCTGAAAGGCGAAAGTCTCCACCTCCTCCTCTCCATGGTGCACCTCCTCAGGCATCTAAAAAAGACAGGAATTATAAAGAAACTGTTAAAGAATTCTTAAGTTCATCTCAGGTTCAATTAAAACCTTAGAAATTGCATTCAAACTGTTTTGAGCTGATTACTGTCCTTTTCCGGGAGACTGGAAAATATCTCGAGACCTTAAGCTTCACACTAAATGGAAAGCCAATTCACAAAAGAAGAAAAACCTAATGCA